CAACCCCCCCCCTAAACACACACACACACACACACACACACATACACACATAAACATGCACACACACGCATACGCACGCATATGTGCACACTCATACACACTCACTCTTCCCTCACACATCCTTTCTTCAACACACATCTGTGCACATAACCATAATAATAAGAACAGAATTCTTGCACCCGGGTCGGGGATCCCAGAAAATTGCAGTAAAATTCTTTAAAATATTAAGCTTTTGCGGAAAAAACATTCTTCAACATATCTATCTTGGCTCCTCACTTCTCTTAAATCAACAAGTTGTGTAAAACGTTATAGACTAGACGACAGAAAGACTTTCTATTTTTTGATAAAATATTCTGACTTCTTAACATTGTCAAATCCGTTTTTAAATAGACATGAATAGCGTTACAGACACATGCAAAAATAGGAAAAAGCTGGTTTCTTCAGTTTCAATATTTTGAGGAGCGCCTGGTAGCACCATGATGACCCACATACGTTTTTACACACCCGTGGACATACTTTAGACTTTGGATGATTTGATGTATGTAGCCAGATTTTTCCCACCCAGCCTGCCAGGGCCAACACAGGCAACGTCTCACAGCGCACCCAACACGTTCTCCTCCTCAGCTCTCCGCCCAACCCCCCGCCCCCTAGATAATATTATTTGATGTGAAATAAACTTTACCAAACTGGCATCGAACTCAGGTTTTCTCCCATAAGATGAAGAGTATAACCATTACACCACGGACCATCGGACTAGGAGGGGAAAACGCCCAAGGCAGATGAAAAATAACGTAAAAAAAAGAAGATAGGTTGTTCTCTCGTGTCGGGTTCCAATCCGAAGATACCGTAAGGGGTCTCTCGCGGTTCAGAGGTTGAGGTAAGATCTAACACCTAGTGATCTCGGATAAGAGCGAAGAATTTCGAAGGTCCCGTGCGCAAGTTGTACATTTTAAAGATTCCTTGATTGTCCAAAATCGATAAGAGCGGGCTTTGGCTGCTACCCAGGCAAAATTCGAAATTAATTCCTAACAAACTGAAAACGTTTAATGTGTCCTGCTCGCGCATATGACCGTATGCAGTTGCGAGGGCAGTAAAACACTTACGAAAGAAAGGAGGTGCAGCAAAAGAACCCCTTCTATATCCCTTCTTTGAAATCTGTCCTAAGTAAGAGTGGCATACATGGGTTCATATTCCCAAGCAAAGCAAAATGAACAGGAGATAAAGAGCACACTTATATTAGACATTTCGCGCCTTTCTCGTTTCCGAAGTATGACGTCATGTGTGGTAAAAACAAGACAAACGTGTATACATTTCCTCATAATTTGCACACTCGCAGTCTTGGGACGACCAACAATAAAAGAAACTTCTTTACAATAAGTGTGCGCGGGGACTAAAACAACGAACACGCGCGAACTGTCGACTTACTTGACCTCCGGAAAGACCACCAGAGCATGTGGGTCGGGAGATGGGTCTGCCTCCTGGACTGGGTGGTCGGGGTGGGCGTGGTGGGGGCGGTACACACACGGAAATTGTAGGTGGGGGCATAGGTCGACCCGGACATACCACCATTGTTGGGCGTGGTCTGGGCGGAGGTGGGCGTGGTCGGTTTGTTCCGCACACTGAAGGTGTTGGTCTGACAGTGGCAGGCTGAGGTCGGGGGCGGGGCGGGATACCTCCCCCACACGGTCTACCTCCTGGTGGCGGGCGTCCTCCCCCTCCTCCGCACGGTCTACCTCCCGGATGAGGTCTACCACAGGGGGGTCTACCACCTCCACCGCATGGTCTACCACCTGGGGGTCTACCACCTGGGCGACCTCCACCACCGCATGGTCTACCACCTGGGGGTCTACCACCTGGGCGACCTCCACCTCCGCATGGTCTACCACCTGGGGGTCTACCACCACCCCCGCATGGTCTACCACCTGGGGGTCTACCACCACCCCCGCATGGTCTACCACCTGGGGGTCTACCACCACCCCCGCATGGTCTACCACCTGAGGGTCTACCACCGCCCCCGCATGGTCTACCACCCGGGCGACCTCCGCCTCCACCACATGGTCTTCCTCCCGGTCTACCACCTCCTGGTCTACCTCTTCCTCCTCCTCCACATCTGCCGCTTACCCCTGTGAGATATAAAACACGACTGAATAATATGTGAGTATATATTTGCTTGTTTGTTTTTATGAGTTTGTTTGTTTATGCGTATGTTTGTTTGTATGTGTGTGTGCTTGTTTGTTTGTGTATGTGTATATAGACAGACAGCGAAGCAGAGGGACGAATTAAAGTTATAAAGGAAGGAGAAAATAAACAAACATAACCCTTTATGAAAATACCTCACACCAGGGCCTATCTACCTATCTATTTACCCCCACCCCGGTCTCTCTCTCTCGCTCTCTCTCTCTCTCTCTCTCTCTCTCTCTCTCTCTCTCTCTCTCTCTCTCTCTATGTTAGCTTTCTTCTTATAAAAGCAAACCGAACGATATTTAAACAATTGTGTAAAAACATGATAACAAAGAATACTATCAAACCCAGAGAAATAGTATGTCTATATTGAGAAATTGCTAAACTTGCTAGAGACAGGGAGCTCTCTCCCTCCCCTCGACACCCTAGAGGTACAAGAGGACGAATAAAATAAATTAAGTAGTAAAGTAAGCTAAACCCCATCTCGTGGTCTGATGGTACCAGCTTGAACTCTCCTGTTTCCTTACAGTCTCCTTCCTCCCCTTGTGGTGGGCCAGGTGATTTTTTTTATTCACCCATTTCAAGAGACAAAATTGTTTTGGTTATATAAATAATTAAAAATCTGTTAAGGCTTGTGGACCTGGCGTTTATCGCCGGAATTCTACAAATTCGAGTGGCAGGATGGGGCTGATTTTCTCCTATCTCTTTTCAGTTCAGTCTTTTTCACAGGTAACTGTCTAGAGGTGTGAACTAAGTGTACGATATTTAGCTTGCACAAAAAAAAAGGAAACATAAATGATGGTAATTATTAT